TCCGGGGGCCCCAGCCCTCCCGGCAGTCGCAGCCGCAGTCCTCCCGGGACAGGCGGATGTTGTGCAGCTCCCGCTTCTCCTCCTTGTCGATCTTCTTCACCCCCACGGCTTTCAGCAGCGCGCGTCTCTTCTTGGCGGGGTAGGGCTGGAGGAAGAAGCCGTCCTCCAGGTCCACGCTGCTGACGTCGATGTCGTCGTCGGAGATGTCCTCAATGGTGAGCTGGTTGGCCTCCTCGGACTCCTTCGTGCCGTTCATGGTCAGCTGAGGGCAAAAAAAACAGGTGAAGCGTTAGGGACCCATCAGGGACACGCAGCCATCGGCACTCCCCGGTGAGGAGAAACGAGAACGGAAAGACCTGTCCCCCCATGGTGTCTGACCCAGGACCAAAATCTGCGTCAAAGCCCCCAAAGGCCTGACAGACGCCTGATGCATGGAGTTCAGCACCTCTTCCGCCACCTCTCAAGGGTGGAGAACTGCGCAGAAAATCCCACACCGGAGCCTGTGTGTTTTGGAGACCCAAACAGGGTTAAGGACTGTTGCCCCCAGGTCTCAGAGAGGCTCCTACTAAAAAATGGCCATCAAATAACGACATCCACCCGCTCCTCACCAAGCCAGCCCCACGCTCCTACTCACCTTCCATTTCAATGCCTCCAACTTCTCCTCTTTTAATTTCTCTTCGAGCTTCTCTCGACGAACATTTTCCTGCTCCTTTGAAAACTCCGCTAGCGTGAACTGCCGGGAGGAGCTGTGTTTGCTCACCATCCCCAGGGTACAGCCCCCGCGACTAGGCACACTCGTGAACCCCTGGCAGCGTGGGAAGTAAAACACAGTGACCCGGTCAAACTCCACATTGTTCTTCTTCAGTCGCTTGGATTTCTTCAGGATAGATGTGGCTAAAAATGGGGGGGGGAATCACAAAGTCAGTAGTGCCACCCTGCAGACGGGATGGAAATATTACCAACAGGCTGTAAATATTACAAACAGGCAAGACTCGCAATTACTCTCTCAACAGGGACATGATGGGACAAGGTTACAACATCGCCTGATGGCATCTGGTGTTTTAGGATCGAACGCTTCAAAGGTGGGATGAGGAGGGGGAGGAAACTAAGCCAAGTCCCGATGCATCGGAGCCACCGATCAGATTCACCCAAAGAAACGGCTGCTGCTTCTCCTTCCCGCATGACTTCCTCCAGGAAACGTACATTTGCCTATTCTTCACGTGCAGCAGAGCGTAACGAACAAGCAGCAAACCGTCCTACGTGCCTGTCTTGCTTTAAACCCAAGCGCCCTGCCCCATGTCCAAGAGCTCGCCGTCTGCTCCCGGGATGCCGGATCGCCGACGCTCCCGCGCTGCGTGGCCCCAGCCTTTGTGGCAGGGCAGAAAACAGCAGAAACGGCTGTTTTTCTTGTACTTCCTTTCACCATCCACTGGGAGGAACTATGAATCTATAGTTTATTCTCAAGAGACTCGTTCGAGAGCAGCTGCAAAGACGTTAATCTTTACACAGGTGATCCCCGGGTAAACACGGCAATACATGACTCTGGTTTATCTTAAACTGCTGAAACATGCTACACACCATTTAAAGCAGAGCCTCTCCAGAGATACCTGGTTCTGCACGTTTGCACGAAGCAAACGCAGCAGATGGAGGTGGTCTAATTAAGCCAGGGCAGGCTCAGAGTCACCGAGTTTCCAGGAGCGTAGCTGGCCATGGAAAGCAAAGCGAAACGGAGCGGTACTGGGTTACAGAGCTGCTCATTCTGCTGCACGGGCGCGTCAGGAATGAGAGTCGGTGGGGTCTTTTTGGTCCCGTTCTCTGCTGCTGCATGGATGTCTTGGTTGTCACCATGGAGAATATGGGGAAAAAAATAACCCAGACAGGATGGGTGACTCCCACAGAGCTGGGATCCGAGCCCCGCTCTTGGGATGGCAGAGCCGCAGGCAGCCCTACTGCGGGGAGCCAACCGAAAGGGCTGCCAAAAACCCGAGGGGCTCGGCTGGTTTGGCTGGCCCCGAAGGCTGGGAAAGTGTGAGACTGGACAGTTAGCTGCACCCACGTTTCACAAGTCTCGCTTGCCAAAATATAACATTTCAGTTTCATACGAAAAAAACAACAAAAAAAGCGTTCACCCAGCTGTGTCAGCAGCTTCTGCTAACTAGCTGAGGGTTTCACACTGGGCTCTGCAGTCGCTTTGATGGTATCTTTGCACTGTGCGTTGCATTTTCATAATAACCTTGACTCAATCTTCTAAAACATTAGCTCTTTATCAAAAGGCAAGTTAACCACCGCGATCGTCTATCGGCTGAGCTGCTGCACTTTGGCATTTGCTCCTCTCTCCCCGCACCCCTCCTCTGAAATTGTTTTCCCATTCCTGACCCTTTTCCAATTGAGCCAGAGAATACAAAAAGTTCATTGTTTTGTCACAAAACCTGGGAAGACAAGCAAGAATGAGACTCTTTATTATTACAAGACTTCTAAAGCCTTTTCAGACCACTGCGTGTTTGTGTATGTCTGCTAAGTGGACCTTAACTGCTATATGCAGTGGGTGTTCAGTATAATTTACTAGGTTGAACTATTTCTCCTCCACGAAGATGTTCCCCTATTGTCTTTTTTATTTTTCCCCTTCACATGGCAGATAAAAGATTTTACAACCTTGTCCTCTGCACGTTTTCCTAAAAGCTCTCAAAACTGGTATTGCTGGGAAAACAAAACAGCATTTATCTGCGCTACCAGCGGAGGCAATGTCAAACGTGTCATGTTCTTTGGCAAAGTACCCAACTTGCACAGGAAACAAGTTCTGAAACGGTAATTACGCTACTGGTTAATCATTTTTAAAAACCAGCGTTATGGGCCTTTGCTGTCTGTTTAGTCGTTGCCTGTGGAACAGCTTGACAGGGCATTGAGGGATGGCCCTACAAGCACCGGCTTGAAGGCACCTCTCTGCACACCCAGGTCCTTGGGTTTCTACTCCTGGGATTATAAAAGCAAGATAAATTGGTGTAATGACTGAGAGCCAGTGTCACGGCCGCTTCCACCCGTGAAGGTGTGCTCCAAGGGGGTCTCTGCATGGACAGAGGTGACAACCCACCGCCACGCTACGAAAAACCCACGCCTGGGCATGCCTGGTCCCGGGGAAGGGGCTGCCGGAGGTACTCACGAGTGAAGCCGGGCGCTAAGGCAGAGCCGGGCTTGGGCTCTCCGCGGGAGCTCTCCTCGTCCGACTCCCAGCCCGAGGACGCCGAGGAGGAGAGGGGCGAGCAGGAGGAGGAGGAGCAGTAGGTGCTGTCATCCCCCAGCTCTTCGTACTTCCTCTTCAGTACTCCGCTCATGGTGACGCCGTATCTTTCAGATAACTGGAAAACAAGGAGAAGAGCAAAATAAAGCAAGGGAAATATCGGCAGTTTCTGGCAACGAGCAGGATGGCTTTAACCCCCAGCAAGACTTCTCCACCAGGTCTACCCGGCGATGCCAGTGTGATTCCCAAAAAAGTGCTCTCCCCTCCCCCCCCACCCCC